GTGCTAGAGATTGAGTTACCATAGCCACCTCCGCTCCTAGGCCTACCCTTACAGTGGGGTCCTGGCCTCACGCTGTTGGAGAGGCACCCTAGGTGCTACGCCTCCCGGATCTAGATCCATTTTGGGGAGAGTAGAGGACAGGGAGGGAGCTGAGGGAGAGGAGAAATGTTGCGAGTGTGAGGTGGGAGGGAGGATAAGAGCCTGGTAGCTAGATGGGATTTAATGCTAAGGTTTAGTTAGTGCGCCAACTATGTGCAATTGCCTTATTAACAGAAGTGGGCTTCATAAGAGGTTCGCCTCTAAAACTAGGCTCCATTTTCAGAGTTAATTAATTCATAGAGATGAATTGATAGGACCAACTGCCTCTGAAGCTGCCTTAGTAGTTTTGAAGACATGGGACACTTTTGGACCAGCTTCAAAAATAAAACGTGTTGTCACCTGAAAACATTTTTGTTGTAGTGAATAGATGACAATCTTATTAGATTTGTGGTTCACGAGTGCACCCAACCCAAGCCAAGGGAAGCCTAGCACTAGATGTTAACCGACTGGAGTTCCTCCCACATTACAAATAATAATGAGTGCTATATGTACAGGTTTATGTTATTACAAAAGTAATTTACAAGACAAATTTACGAATAAAGGTGTTTTGTTTTCCAACAATTTTTTGTGCAAGTATGGACGTACCAACAGAGTTTTAGTTTATGTAGTTACAAAAGTTCTAGCACACAAACCAAATATGTATTATTTTCCAAACTAAATATTATAAAGTTTTCAACAACTAAAGTTGTACTACTTTGATTTGATTGAATCTTGTCCTAGATGTCAAGTTTTTGTAACCAGAGGGGTACTAATTTAATTAAGTTCATCCTGAACACTGTACCAGTTTACCATAACTATTACCATCGATACTTAGCTTGTGATGGCAATTGACATCTTGCATCATTTGTTACATTAACATGTAATTTATGTATTTATTTGCATCCTTCAATGACATGTATCTAAACTACTCCCTTCGTCTCCAAAAGAAAGCCAATTTTGTTTTGTTCGTAATCAAACCATCAAAATGTGACTTAGTTCATAAAAAAGAGAATATCTATATATGGCACCAAATATTCCTAAGTATCATTAAATTCATCATGAAATATTATTTTCATAGCCAGTTTATTTGGTGTCATATATATTTACATGAACTATGTCAATTTTCACATATTTCTTCGACTTAGGACAAATCAATAATTGTAGCACCCGGTTTTAAGAACAAAACTAGATACGCACCATATGTGAGCCCAGGAAGTCAAATCTCACATATAGCTACAAATAAGGGTAATATCAATAGACAATGTTTAAATACATAACGTATTAATGTATAGAATGTAACATCAGAGCATAGACAGCGGAAAGACGACTTCGATCTTCAAGCGAAGACTCCAAATCCACAGGGACAACTGACTGATTGACCACAAGCCTAATTTCTCCAAACTCTACAAATCTGGCACCCATCCGGGATTTTCATCCAAATATTTGAAAAGTAAAGCAAGCGTAAGTACATGTCGTACTCAACAAATATAACGTGGGGTTCATGAGGCTCAAAAGGCTGACACTGGTTTAACTGCGATTAGCTTTTAATTGTCACAATTTTAGCAAAGGAGTAGCAACAAGTTTATCACAAGCCCGTAAACACATGATCAGGTAAATATGAATAATGAATAGCATAAACAGTAATAGTTAGTGAGCATCTTCATCATCTATATCTTTAGTGTTCATCATCATTAACCATTAGTGATCATCTATTCCGTAAGGGTTCCAAGGCCGCACGTGACCGTGAGCACGGCTGATATACCAGTTTTACACTCTGCAGAGGTTGTACACTTTCACTATGAGTCGTGATTTACCCTTTCGCCCGAGGTAGCTAATCTCTTGACCCACTTCCAAGGAAGGTCGGCAGGGTTCACTATGAAGCCTTTCAAAGGTTCGTGTAACAAGTTAAAGCCATTAGATTCACTCGGCAAACAGATGTAGAGCCCCCCTTCCCAATGGCACAATGACACGCAGCCTATACACATGGGGACAGAGGCCGCACTATACCCAATTCGGCAAGCCATTCTTACGCCAATAAAGGTAACCACTAACAAGCTAGAAAAGGTCCTCATACTGAGCTAAAGCCATAGCCATATGGCCCTCACAGTTGTACTGTAAGTCCCAGATGATCATTTATAGATAAGTCCTTAGGGAGAGGAATCTAGAGCACCATAAAATAACCCAATGCTCTAGCCCCCTTGTTCCATGTTGCTAAAAAGCATCTTTTAGTGTTTATTGCATATTCTATTAGTCAAGTTACAAGATCATGGCTTTAGTTGAGCACTAGCATCATACTACCCAATGTAATACCCCATAGGTAACAAGGCACAAGGTAACAAATCACTAGGAAATCCTTAGTGGCTGTCAAGATAGACACATGCAGCATGAATTAAGTGATTAAAGGTGAATAGGTAACAAGGAAGATCCCATGCTATACTTGCCTTAAACACCGATCCTTCGATAAGTTTTAATCTTTAACTTTCTTCTTCTTCTTCTTGATCACTACGTATATCTCACCGACTGGACGAAATCATAAAGCACTACACAAGCATCCATACAATCATACACGAAGCAAACAATAGATCTAAATTAGAACAGTACACCAAACATAAAATCAAGATAAAAAGTTTGTAAATGAATCTACGTCTCGCTACAAACACACAGACATGAAAAGCACTCTAATCGGAGCTACGGTGAAAAAGATACATCTACCGAAAGATCTACTTTATACGCGGAAAAGAAAACTATATGCTTCATTTATTTCAACTATATAAATTCATATATATAAGATATTTTATAAGATAAATTGAGTCAAATTTAGATCTGAATTATAAAACTAAAGTAAAATTTATAAAATCCTGTTACATAATTATTAATCAAGATATGATTTAAACCATGAAATTCTAGAAATAGTAACCACTGTTACTAACACATAGATCTCATCGCTATGAATCATGAATGGGTCAAAACGGAGCTAAAACGTAGAGGATATGAATTAAACAGGATTTCCTTTAATAAAACAATGGATTAAATCTAACCTTGAATTTTAAAAGTTGAAAACATACTTAACAGTAGTATGATCATGTAGATTATGAGATTATGAACCTAACGCAAGTTGAACGGATCAAATCGGAGTTAAAACGAAGAAGTTATGGCTAAAACAAAATCAGTGGCAAATCTATAAATAAGTGAAAACGTATTTTTGAAGTCAACCGAGAAAAATACGCTTTTTAAAAGAGCAAGGCGTAATCTATGGATTGTGCAATGGACCGCTGGTTCAATAATAGAAAAACTCAAGGGCTCTTTAGCAAAAATGTCTGCGAAGGGGTACCGGTTAATCCTGACTGTTGGATCTACTTTCGACGGCCGAAAACAAAAGCAAGGGAGAGAGAGAGAGCGTGGCCGGAACAGTAGCTTGGCGCGATGGTGGCCATCTGCAGGTGTTCGACAACGACTGGTGAAGAACAAAGCGCAGCAGACAAAGACGGGAAAGCGTAGGAAGCTTCGTACCCTCAACACGGAACTCGGCAGGAGTACAAGAGCGTCGGGAAAGCAACGATGTGAAGGACTGCGGCGGCGGGTGACTGGCTCCTCGGCGAGATCCGTCGTAAGCAGGACGGTGATGCTAGTGCTCAGGCGATGCTACACTAGGGTTTGGGGAAAGCGGCGCTGGTGCAGCTGCTATTTATGAGGGGTAAAGGTGTGGCGCGCAAGGCACGACAGAGGACGGGGCAGCGACAGACACTCGGACGACGACGGTGGAGTCCATGTTGCTCACGAGGTAGGAGGAGGAGCTGACGGGTGGACCCAGGCTGTCAGCGAAACAAGGCGATGGAGTGCGCTTGCACGGCAGCTTCGGGGCTGGGCCGTCCCACGAGCGAAGCGCGAAGAAACTAGAGACGGTCGGCTGGGCCAAGAGGAGAAGCGGAGCTGGGCCTGCGTGCTAGCGTGGGCCAAAGCGGGAGGAGCAGAACGGCCCGTGGGAGGAAGGCCGAACGGGATGGGCCGGCGGAGGGAATGGGGCAGCTGGCGGTGGAACTGGGCCAACAGGCCAAATAGGGAGAGAGAGAAGAGAATTCCTTTTCCAATTTCTAAACCAATTTTGAATACAAACTCAAATCAAGTTGAGATCCAATTTCAAATATGAACCAAATCAAATTTGAACACGGTTTAAAATATATTTTTTCAGTTCAAATAAAAATGAACAATTTTGGGTAAGTTCCCAAAAATAAATTTTACAACTTAAAAAAATACTTTTATTTTCAAATTCCCTTTTTCTTTCTTTTCTTTTACTTCAAAGCCCATTTTTAATTTCTTTTGGAAAAGCAATTTAAATCACTCAATCAAATACATCAAATGCAAGGGCATGTATGCACAAACATGTTGTTAAGTCTTACGATGAATTTTAAATTAATGAAATTTTTTTTTCTAAGTTTTCATGTGTACAAAAATTCACAAATAAATCATTTTAACTCTATTTTCAAAAGTGGCAAATTTTTGGGTGTTACAATAGTGATTTTCGTTATGGAACCGAGCGAGAATAGTATCTTTGTTGACTGTTCCAACTTTCTTGTTTGTATATGTAACCGTTTAGATGGATGCGACCAAATGTGAGTGGTATGTTCTTGCTAAAGGCTGATTGCTCAGGCCAAATTAGCATTGTTGTTATTAATTAATATACGCAGCTTCACACTCAGGCGCCTCTGTTTGTGTATATGATATGACGACCTAAACAAGGAGCGTTAGATTTCATCCAAATCTACCGTGTCCTTGTAGTTGTACATACTTTCCTTGAACTTAACTTCTCTTTATTTCCAATGAATGCAAGCGAGGCTGCATGCAGATCGAGGACTTGGATAAATCCTTATTACAACCACCATTGCAATGCAAGCGCATAGCATCTCAAATCTATAGCCACAAAAATGGCCCCTAGAGCTCGAGGTCTAGCCGTCGCAATCCTTGTCCTTCGTGTCGTCACCCTAGGCGTCCTCGCAGCATCTCTTGTCGTCATAGCGACAACAGCTAGAACTCACTATGACCCAATTGGTGAAGACGTTGGCCAGATATATGACATCAGCTTCCAAGATCTTTACACGTATAGGTGAGGGTTTAATTTGCCGCAGCTATATATGGGAGTTACATATATAACATTTTAACTGTAATTTGTAATGTTTTCAGGTATGTCCTGTCCGTGGCTGCCATTGGGTGCGCCTACACTCTGGTGTTAGTTTCTGTGGCCGCAATTGCTGTGTTCGAAGGGAAGAGAATTGGAGGCACCAGTGTTGCAAGGTTCTTCATCTTCATCGATGTTGTAAGCCTTCCCCTACTTTATTCATCAATTGTGAATTCATCAGCAAGATAACAGCGTAAAATTCTTCTGTAAATATAGTACTATTCATCACTTATTGTTTTTACATGATGGATTAATGTGTTGTTCAGGTACTTTGCGCGCTATTAACCTCGGGAGGTGCTGCCGGACTAGGTCTTGTAGTTGACAATCAACGAATTAATGGGAAGTCCTTCGACCCTGCTCATAGAAAATTCTACACCTCCTTCGACGCCTCTTGTGGTTTGCTCCTAGCGGCCGCTGTCTGCACTGTGGTCATGATCATGATTTCAGTTTCTTCAAAGTAGCTGGCAAAGGTTGACACGGTTATATGGCAATACGTACTTCTGCATGACTAATTTTTATTTCTCTTTATTTCATCCTTTATGATGAGGATTGAGGACAGTAAACTATAGTATGTTGTGGTGTTTGTGTGGACCTAGGATCCTTTATGGTCCTTGAAAAATAAGATGGTTCCTATTGCTTCGATCGATTACAACAATACTAATATATGTTGTGGATTTGAGTTAAAAAGTTTTATTTAACTATCGCCATATACGTGTTGTATTCAAACTATTGGTCATGCAACTAGTAACACAAGGTGTTCTCGACTAATATATATGAAATGTCACCCGATCGAAGGGATAATGTGTTCCCCCAATTCATTGTCTCTCCTTAATTATTTTTCTGAACTCCCTCCCCTCTCCGCTAGACTAGGGCGCCATCCACTAGGATGCGCCCTCAGCCCGTGTGCCTCATGGTTCTCCACCTCATCACCCTGCAGTGGGCTCTCCCCTACTCGACAATCTCGTTGTACATCCACCCCTTCTTATCATGAGCCTTTGTTTTTTCCAACTCCCTCGCTTCTCCACTACCCTAGGGCACCACCCTCACCACCTATGCATTGCAAGACCCTCCACCTCATCACCGTGCTGTGCAGCCTCGTCCAATTGAGGATCCCTCATCTGGCGTCCAACCCCTTCCCCCAATCTAATATACTTTGGTGCCATGTCAGGCACGAACTCTACGACCTCTGGCATGACCACCGCCTCCACCTCGGTGCTAATGGTAACGTCACCAAGTCGTCAATGATGTCCCGCCTCGCAATAGTTTCCTGCAGCTAATGATGCCCCTACCGTCTTCAAGGTCAAGACGTATGTGCCAATCACCTTGGAGCTCTAGCATCCCAACTACTCCAAGTGGGCGTAGTTCACCTGCTCCATGTGCAGCAAGTTTGGGCATCTCCATCACATCGATGACACCGCCCCTCGCGCTGATGATCTCACCAGGTCATAGGTTGATGCCTGTGTGTGTTGTTGGATCTACTGGAGCATTGCTGATGATGTCCTCGACTTTGCCATGGAGCCCGAACAAACAACGCGTGCAGGCCTCTTTTTTTCGCGATCGGGTGTTCAGCCCGTCCAAATGTTACAAGGGCGATGCATAGGACTCGCAAGTAATCCCTGGATTACCAACGAAATCCCACACAAACGAATAACAAGAAAACACGAGGGGGTAGACCCTCTAGCTCAAAACCCCAACCAACTAAGCCTAATACAGGAAGACAGACACATCGGTAGCCAGTAGTGTAGTGAAGACCGCAGAGGCGACGAGGCAAGCTTCAACCTCAGCAGCAAAGCATCTGCCAAGGGCGCTAGCACGATAATAGCGGCAAAGCATCCGCTAGAGAAAGACCACAATGGCAAAGCATTTGCCAGAACTGCAGCATGGCGGCAAAGCATCCTCCCGAGACGATAACCATCAACACGACAAAGCATCTGTGGATGGGGGCCATCACGCTCGCAGCAGCAAAGCATATGCCTGAGAGGGGAGACTGAAGCGACACTGGCGGCAAGGCAATTGCCTGAGCAACATGATGGCAAAGCATCCATCCAAGAATAGCAAAAGTGATAGCAGTAAAGCATCCACTATAGAGAAGCAAAAGACTGCGGCAACACCAACCAACTACTGGACAAACCGAAGCGAAGGGTAACACGAAGCACAATCAGGCTTAGCACTGCAAGGTGCAACTCAGGCAGGGAAGCAGAAGGAGCAGAAGCACGGCAGCAGGAGCGCTCCAACGACGCCTTCAAGAAGGGTATTGACATCCGTAGATGCCATCATTGTTGATAGAAGCACATGAGGATTTTCATCCAAGAAACATGCCCCGGCGACCCGAACAATGAGGACAAGCTTCAACTACGCCTTCAGGAAAGAAAATGACGCAGACTGCGCCACCACCGCCAGCCCAGAGCAAGAAGCCGGGCAGGGTAGATACCCAAGCAAAGCAGTTGACACTGTGGGCCAGGGATGGGGGGCGCTGCCATGCCAAGTGACTCCAGACCGGTGAGTAGCGCGCAGTGACTCCGGCCACCGCCCGGTGAGCCGAAGTCGTTTTCGCCCGAACTCCACCACGCCGACGCTTGCCGACGCAGGCTCCCAGATTGACCGCCCACCGCCGGCTGCCAGCTGGCGTGCACAGGAGACCGCGGTGCCCCCAACCAGATATGGTTGGAAGGGCACAGGAAGGCTGGGGCGCCGGCTGCCCCTGCAGCTGGCCTACTGGGGGAGGCAACCACGACACCGGCACCAGCCTCCGCATGCCAGATGCCCAGCCAGCAGGCCAACACCGACCAGCATCAAGGCAGCCAGAACCGCACGCGCGCCTCAGCCGCACAGGGCAGATCCGGTGACGGGGTGGGCAGATCTAGCCCTAGGTGCCCGGTTCTGGCTCTCCGGCCAGCCAACCCGCTGGAGATGCTCGAGGTAGGGCAGGGTGGAGGAGGGGTGGGAATGGGGGGAGGGGGAGGAGTGGAGATGCGACGGGGGGGCCTTTTTTCTGTCCGTCGCGAGTCGCCGCCGCCGTAGCCGTGCGGTGGCGGCAGGAGAAGTACCGGGGGGGGCTGCGCTGATGCGGCGGCGGCTGACCGCCCGAGTTGCCCCGCCGGGGCGCTTGGTTTTGATTAACTTCTGCGGGCCTCTTCTACTAATGCAAGAGCATGAAAGTCATCATCAACTCCCTATGTGACGTTGGCCACACCATCTTCGAGCCTCAGCTGGTGCTCCACCTCCAGTGTGGGCTCAACCCTCAGTTTCGACAACCGTGGATACTTTGTCAAGCATCTCAGTTCTGCCATCCTTCACCATGCTCAAAACATGTTCATCCCGATTCCCGAAGGAACTACGACTCGCCAACGACTTGAAGGTCACCTCCCAGTCCACCCTTGTCGCCACAAATTCCTCTGGTGGATCTGCAACTCACCCTCCTGCCGCACCGCTCACGTCCTCTGCTAGTGGCACCAGCAGTTGTGGTCACCAGAACCGCCACAATAAGGAAACACATCTCGGTGCATTTAGCACGTGTGGCAACATCTGCAGGTTTAACACATGACGCCTTTGGACTTTGACACCAAGTCCGGCGACTTCTGGGCAGCACTATAGGGTGGGCTAGCAAACGTTCTCAACATCACAACATGGCATGGGACGATGTGATACAGGCCAGGCGACCTGGGCTCAGTAGTTGCTGAGTAGGCATTTGGGCTTTCCTAGTTTCCTTTGTGACTAGCTGGACATGCATATTTCTAAGAACTGGCTAGTATAGGGCCTCTGGCATTTTGTAACACGTGAGCTGGCCCAGCGTCATTAGGCTCACCCTCACCCTCACTCCGTCTGCCACTCGGCACTAGCCGTCGCCTACCCAATACCAAGATGACCAGCCTTTGTCTCAACAAGGCAACAAGCAATAAAAAAAACAACCGCACAAGTTTCCACAATAATCTCCTACAACTAAAAAGAACAAAGTGTGGATATTTTTTGGTGCGACATTCCAACGTGGGTTCATCGTCCTGCCTCCCCGTGCGATTTTTTTTCCACCTCGACGCTCTGCCCGCCCGTGCAAAAGGAAACTCACGGCCTCCACACTCTGCCTTCCCGTGCGAAAAGGATTGGCTTCACCCCGCTTGCCCTATCACCCTCCGGCAATCCCGCGCGCACCTCCCTTGCAAACCCTGCGAACCCTGTCTGCCCGCTCCCGCAAAGGAAGTCAAAGCCAGCACGATCAAGGCCGCTCTAGACATTGCGCAATCTTCGCGTCCCATGATTGCCTAAAATCGTGCTGCCGCTTCCCCATTCCTTACTAGAGCCATGGTGTGTGCATCCTCCGCGGTCATCCACCCGGCCATCATTGCATGCCCATGCAAAAACCATAAACTTGGGCATCTTGGGCTCCCGACAGTGGTCAGGGTCGAGGTCATTTGGGTGCGTGCGGCGTGGCGGGCGTGGGTGTGATGACGAGAATGGCTTGTGGTTGCGGCGCGCGGATGCGGCGCTGATGTCTCAGAGCCAGACATCTAGGCGGCGGCGGTGCTTAGGGTAGAGCGGTGCGGGCAGCTGCGCTTCCCTGGTGGCGGCAGCACTCCGTCGGCGGTGGCCACTGACGGTCACACCTTCAATTACCTCCTGGAAGATGAATTCAGTGAGTTCTCTTGCCTTCCTGCCGTCCGCCTCTGTCAAGTTCTGTCCTTTTAGCATTTCATTAGTACTTTTTCTCGGTCTTAGATGTATTTTCTAAATTGGGTGTATGGTCAAACCGTGGGGGAATTGGATGACAATTGAAGTTTTGGCGTTGTTGGATGGAGAACCAAATGAAAGAAGGATTAGGATAATCTGGGATTATGTCATCCAGTGCGCATACCAAAAGGTAACAACTCAACATCCTCCTCTTTTTTCATAGAATGGAAACACTCATACGACTGAACTCAAGGCGTTGAATAACAGAACGCAACAGTGCAGGAGTGACTGAAAAAAAAACGAAATGGTCTTTGTGATTGAGGGAAATGACAGCAGCGATCCCGTGTATGGCCAAATTCAGAAACTCCACATGATGATAACCCATTGATTAGAAGAAGAGATATCTTTTCTATTGTGCATCACTGTATCTTGATCTGCATGGTCATGTAGACAATGCATATGTGCCGGGCCGACATGGCATGGGCCAAAGGCAATGCTGGCTCCAAGAAGGAGATTTCAGTTCCCAGAGATGCCAGTGGCAATGCCATCTCTGCTCAACAATATACTTGAACATCTTGTTAGATTTTTCAATACCATTATCTAAGCTTATGCCACTTAAACTAATATCCTATTCTAGAGCGCTGTAACAATTTCACATTTTATTTGGTTCAGTCTGCAGTTTTTTTTCCGTGATGATAATCCTGAAGGTATTGAGGCACGTAACGAGGTTAGCACACCCTATTCACTATTATGCATTTATTACTAAGAATTTCAAAATTATGTTCCTACCATTCAAAAT